ATGGTTGTGTTAACCACTGATTAGAGGAATATGCTCAGAAAATAGCTGATGAGACCTCAGCAAATGCTCTTTCAGCTCCAGAAAAAGGATATAACATATTCACTGATCGCATTTTGGAAAGTCTCGGGAATTACTTACCATTCAAACACTCTCGCAATAACAGTAAACAATATATCCCTGGTGACTGCACCTCTCGGGATCCTCCCTCGACATCCTGGTGGATTCCGGAATGTGGTGAGACGGTGGTTAAGTCTCGGGCTTCCTAAAGGCCTTTAAACAGGCTCCGACTACTGAAAATTATGAGGCATATCGAAACTCGAGAGAGTTTTCGAAGAACTCTCCGACGTGCCAAACAAAAAAGTTGAAGAACTTTTTACGAAAATCTCAGCTCTCACATTCCCTCTATGGAGGTTTGACGCATGCTCAAATATTTTAATAACTGCCGCCTCGTTTCCCCTTCTCTCTCCATTAACAACCTCTCAATTAACGGAATCTTTCAAATTCAAGAAGTCATAGATAAATTCTGCCCCCCTGTTCTCCAGAATCCACTGTTCCTGATAGGACTCCGGAATCTCTTGCTTGGCTCGACTCATCGTTCTTTCTTAACGAAATCAGGGCCATGCAAGGATATCTTCCCGGCCTGGACGGTATTGACTACCGCCTCATTAAAGCTCTCTCGGATGAACTTCTTTTTTACTTACTCTCTTTATTAAATCTCATTTACATCTTCCACCTTCCCCGCTCGCATTCTATCGTTCACTTAATTCCGAAACTCCATGGTGCGGACCATCGACCTATATCACATCCTGTATCTTAAAGCTCTTAGAGCGTATGATTCTGAATAGATTTTATTAGCTTTCTGAGTCACCCTCCTCACCTCTTACTTTTCTATTCTCAATCAATTAATTCGGATTCAGGAAGTTTAAGTCCTCCCAAGACAACCTTACTATCTTGTCTCACATTCACAAGGCCTACCTTCTTCATCAGGACACTGTGGCTGTATTCATAGATATTAAACCCATTTTGACAATGTCTTACCTCATATATTAATCCAAGATCTCATCAATTTGGGTTTTCCCCCTTCTTTTATTGAATTCATCAATCTGATTGCCTCTGCAAGATCCAATTCGTGATACATCTTTTTCCCCCCATCTATCACTCGCATAAAGGCACTCCCCAAGGGTCAGTACTCAACCCCCCACGCTCTTCAATATTTATCTTAGAGATATCGACGAATCATTATTACCTGACGTACACTTGCTTCAATTTGATGACATTGTCATATTTTCCTCCCACACTAATACCAGAGTCGCCTAACAATCAATAGAATATTTTTTAAATAACATTCGATCCTTCCTGAATAACAGAAGTCTTGAGATCTCCTCCTCAAAAACACAATTAATGATTTTCTACAAAAAATATAAGAATTCCTACATTAACTGTTCGATTAAATTAGGGGAAACTGATATTTTCTCTTCCCCTCCAGTTAGATTTCTAGGTATAATATTGGACCCTAAACTTTTAGGCAAGCAACATATAGCATACGTAATTAACAAAGGGAAAAAGTTAAATTCTATTATTTCCGCCCTTAAAATACTTGGTGAAGCGCTAGTCCTTCTTTACTTCTATATACAACCCTATGAGTTGATCTTCTTTCGAATATACTTCTCTTATCTTTGCGTTGAACGATAATCAGACCTTGGAAAATTACAAAAGATATAAAACCAGACGTTGTGATTGGCTTGTGGTGTATCCACCCCAATCAATGTAATGCATGCTGAAACTTCCACTTTTGCACCACAGATTCAAATTCCTGGCCTCCACATACTTTCTCAAAAATTATTTCTATACGAAACTACCCTGTCGTAACAAAGCTCTTGGAACCTTGCGACTGTGCCACAACTCTTTCACAATATGCATACCTTTTAAAAAATTTCCTGTCAGCAACCATATTTTTCGTATGTGGCAGTATAAAAATGATATATATATTACCCCCACTCTTCCTGTTTTTCAGAATTCCTTCTACTACATGCATCAATTATATTAAACCTCCGTCTAAACTTATCTGCTCTGGACCTCCCCAATTAGCCCAGCTCGTCTTTGACGTCACCTTTAAAGATCTGATCTCTCAAGCCATCGTATTTTATACAGATGGATCTAAATCTGAGGAGGATACATTCGTCGGCTCCGCTATTTACTCTCTCCAGCTTGATTTGCGACAGATATTCGAGCTTTCCTCCTCCGTTTCGGTGTCCTCTGCTGAAGCTTGGGCCATTTATAATGTCTTATCCATAGCTATCCATAAAAATCTGAAATCGCATTGTAATCTTCTCAGATTCAAAGAGCATCCTCGACGCTCTGCGAGGATACAATAACAAAACTTACAAAACAACTATATCATTGACTATACACGTGCATTAATTGAAGAGATCAAATTTATAAATATATTCGTAACGTTCATTTGTATCTCGTCTTACAGTGGCATACAAGATAATGAGATCGTAGATCAATTAGCCAAGAGGGCAATATGTGAGAGTTCGGATTCCAACTTTAAAGCTTCATACTTCGATTTATTTCTAAAAAATGTCTGAAGGCGAATGTTGAGAGTTTCATCGGAAGGACATCTCGTGACAAGGGTGTTTATTACTTTGGTAACTTCTATTCTGAAAATGACTTCATGACTCTCATCTCTCCCGCATGTATATCATCACAATCAATCATTCGAGAAGCAATCATTATAATTTCAATTCAAGTCTTTAACGGAAAAATTTGATCCTTCTTGCCTCTGCGGCTCCTCCTCTCAAGACCTAATTCATATAATTTTCTCTATCACAGAACCTTATGCCCTCCCACTTCGTACGGCACTTCGAAGCTCGATTCGAACATTGAACAATCCATTCGATCCTCTCGAAGTTATAAACTGCCTTATGCAAGTCTTCGGCAAAAATTTGTCGCCTCTTTGCAAGCTTTAATCTCGCATGTGACCGCTTATTATAATTCAAACATTCGCGGCGTCAATTCGCGGCACTCCCCAAGCGCTTGCATCGAGCACGGACCCTCTATCTTGTTCCAGCGGGCACTCAGTGTCGCTTGAGACCCTTGCCGCAAGAGACAAAACCTCTTTTTTTCAACGGCGAATTATTTCGCAACGCCGAAACCTGCAAGACAACATTATCAATCTATCAATGCTTACGTACAATTCAACGTTGTGATCTGGTATTGTCTCCGTTCAATATATATGAGAGACAGAAGCCACTAACCAATAAGAAGAAGAAGAAGACTAATATTATACTGCACTAGTACATTAGTATTGTGTGTATGTACAGTTGGGTTCGATTTTAGGGCTCCACGTTTCATTCTTAGCTATTTTTATATTCATGAGTGTTAAAATCTGATGACCGAATATTACGTCAGCAATCATAAATGTATCGTAGTATTTGTGAATTGTGTTTTGACAGCTGGTCGATGTAATATCAGTTTTAATCAGGAAAATCGCTCTGTATCAGATCACTGAGTGATTAGATTGAAGACATTTTAATATTTCTCCATTCGAAGAAAGACGACAAAAGTTTTTCAGTAGAATCTTTGAAATACTCTAAAGCTTAATTGATTGAAAGGAAGCGGATCGAAGCTCTCAATATATCAGATAAATTGTAGTTTTGAAAAAGTATAATTGCCTTTACTTGCCAATAAAAAAATATACTTCGTAAGTTGTTTTTCTTACACAGGTAATAACATAAATAAGCGAATAAGATAGTCAACAATGGAGTGCTTGTGCGAGAAGTGTTATTAGAGACAAGAACAGAAAGATAACTTGCAAGCAATAATTTTTTAAACAATGTTTAAGGGAACTTCGCGCATGGGGCGAGCGTGGAAGGTATAAATAATTATTTTTTTACGTGTCAGAGTTAGCAACAAAATCGGAAATAGGTATATTTCAAAAGTATATGTTACAAGGAACATTTTGGTACCTAAAACTTGCGAGCAATAAATTGTTTAAACAATTTTTGAATGAATAAAGTGTTCGGCGAGGGCGCTGATGCTGATAAACTATAATAATTATTGTTCATGTGTTAAAGTTAGCAACAAAATCGAAAATGGACATATTTTGATAGTAGATGCTATGAGGAACATTTTGATATCAAAAACATGTGAGCAACTCTGTGCATATATCTTTTAATTATGACGCTGCTACGCATGACTATGCAGTTTTGATTATTTATCGATATTTGTTTAACAATGTAATTTTTTTTACACAGTGCGACAAATATGTTCCCGGACACGAATCACATCTCAGCAACCAGTGGCGACATCTGTGCGTTCAAACATGCATTTTAAAGGTTGAACATTTTGCTATCATCTGTCAAAGTTTCATTCATTTTGGTTGACATATAAGAAGATATGACAGTTCATGTTAAACAAGATTTTGGTCGAGGTAGAAATTTTAATATGGAACAAAGAGCAGTGATTAAATTTAACGCAAAACTTGGTAAAAGTGCAGAAACATTCCGATCGATGCAACAAGTTTACGACAGTCAATGTCTAGGTCGTACAGCTGTTTTTGAGTGGCATAAGCGTTTTTTGCAAGGCAGAGAGACCGTTGAAGATGACAAAAAATCAGGACGGCCAATTTTGGTTCGAACACCCGAAATGATCGAAAAAGTACGTGATTTTGTTGCAAATGATCGCAATGCATCATTAAAAATGATGGAGGAGGAATGTTTCTGATGCACTTTTACCAAGTTTTGCGTTAAATTTAATCACTGCTCTTTGTTCCATATTAAAATTTCTACCTCGATCAAAATCTTGTTTAACATGAACTGTCATATCTTCGTTATATGTCAACCAAAATGAATGAAATTTTGACAGATGATAGCAAAATGTTCAACTTTTAAAATGCATGTTTGAACGCACAGATGTCGCCACTGGTTGCTGAGATGGTTCGCGTCCGGGAACATATTTGTCGCACTGTGTATATACATACGATTATATATATATATACATATATACAGGGTCCATTATGAAAGTAATGCGCATGATTTTATTGTGACGCGAATATCCATCGCAGCGGGGTAAAATGGGTCGGGAAATGTGGTGGGGAGTCTGCCCTTCCAAGGTAGCCGGTCGCCAGTTTGCTCCGAGCAGTCTGAGTGGAAAGACGTGCCTCTGCGTGAAGTGTGTTTTTCGACTTTGTAACACGGCGCGATGGAGCGTTCGCTTGAACAGCGCCATCAAGTTTTGCGTGCGACTTGGAAAGAATGCAATCGAAACATTCCAGATGCTTCAAGAGGCCTTCAAGGACGACTGCATTTCAAGGTCACAGTCCGGGAGGTGGCACAAGGCGTTCAAGGAGGGCCGGGAGGAGCGAATGAGCAAGTCTCGCATCGAAACGATGCTCATTGTCTTTTTTGACGTCCGAGGAATCGTCCATTTTGAGTTTGCACCGCAGGGAGAAACTGTCAACTCAGTCTTCTACCTGGAGGTGCTCAAGAGATTGAAACGCCGGGTCGCGCGCGTGAGGGCTGACATCAAAGACGCGATCAAGCTCCACCATGACAATGACCCCCAGCCACACGGCCTTCATCGTTGCCAACTACCTGGCCCGGAGCAACACCCCGGTGGTCCCCCAGCCCCCTTACAGTCCCGACTTGGCTCCGTGCGACTTTTTTTTGTTTCCCCGTCTGAAGAGAGAGCTGAAAGGAAAGCATTGGGAGTCCGTGGAAAACATCCAAAAGCATGTTACAACGTTCCTAAGAGACATTCCCGTCGAGGAGTTTCAGCGTGCCTTCCAGGCGTGGCAGACACGTCTCCGCAAGTGTATTGATTTAGGGGGGGGAGTATTTTGAAGAATTTTGAGTATTTGTACCGCTACAATCAATAAATCTATTGTTCCCAGAAAATGCGCATTACTTTTATAATGGACCCTGTATATATATATATATATCGTACTTTTATCTTATCATCGTGTACTACCACACTTTATAAACACTATCACACACGGTTTGTTTACTCATTCCTGTTAATAATTTCGATTCAGAACACTTTTATGCATAATTTTATTGAATTTCTTCTTTAAGAAACGCGCGCAAAGATATAGAGAACTGTGCGATCTGTGTGTTAAAATGGTCGATAAAAGTAAGAGAGAGAGACCGTGAAAGACGGCCATCTCTATCTCTTTTCATTCAATGGTGTAATGGGAGAGAGAATGAGAAGGAGATTGATCGTCTTCCATAGTCCCTCTCTTTCTCATTATTGATACGGAGCGAATTCGTGAGCTCGCTTTGCTGATATGTATTTTTCTAGATCATCCAATAACAGCGAGCACTCACGGATTCACAGTTGAGGCTGCTGAATGCGACCAATAAATCCGCAATAACAATTTGAAAAAATGCGTGTTTAACATACGCTGAAAATTTTCAATACTCATATCAGTGTTGAATATTGAAACGCAGCCACATACACGCGAGAAAGCAATTGTTTGTTACGTGCGTCAGAGACGACTAGGATACTGACATCAATCGTCCAGACAGAAAGTACATATACAACTTTTGTACAACGCAAATTGTGAATAAAAACTAGTAGCATAAATTAGTCAGCAAAGTTCAGTGCATATAATCACAATATCTCTATGCGAGTACTATTACATTTAAAAAAAGTACGATAAGTTTGTGTACTAATTATTTTAATATTAAGTAAATAAATCACGCAGAAAATAATAACTAATATTTTGGAAATAGTTTCCATTGATTTGGTTGACTCATTAATGCAAAACGAGGACATGAAACAAGATTTGGTGAAAACAGCTATTCCTGTTAACGATGTTCAAACTCCAGTAATTAATTTGGACCGAATGAAACAAACTGATGAGAACAACATTAAGATGGACATAATTAAGATTAAGAAAAAATTATGAATACAGATAAGGTACGCATACTTATTTATTACTGACGAAATTTTACATACATACACACACACATATATATAGTATATATATATATATATATATATATATATGTGTGTGTGTATATAAGATGTTTAGTATTAGTCGGTTCTTAGTTTTGTGTGTCAGTAAAGCGTTAATTTCTTTCGTCGAATTAGTACGTATCCGCTCGGCTTACCGCCAAACAAGCGCAAGATTATGTTATAATATTATGTATTCCTTTTTATTAAATTGAATTTACTCTAAATAAGCTAAATTTTTACGTCATCATGTCCTTAAACACTATTTAATGTTGTATATATACGTTTTTATTATACAGATAATAATTGATGCTTCGTTATACAAATCTTATATATTCTTATATACCTTTATTATATTTTACATAGAATGCAGTTCCTCTAGGTAGAGGAATTTCGATTCCAGAGTCCATAATGAAAAAAATCTGCATCTCGGAAAAATGACTTGCGACCTTATGAGTCATTTATTTTCACTGAAGAGATTGCTTCTTCATCGAGAACTGGAAAAAAAAACTTAAATTCGATAAAATTAGATTCGATATAAAAGAAATCATTGTCCACCAACGATAAATTTCTCGCAATGAAAGGTATATAATCTACTATGAATGTGTTTTTTAAAATTATAAATTGGTCGACTAAGTTTTAAAAGATACTGAATGAAAAATTATAATACAACTGTATATGTACTTCATTCATACAGAGATTTAAACTTTTCGATTTCTAATATATTTCTGCAATGTTATAACATATATGTATCGCCTTTCAATTATACAAAAAATTATTTCATATTTATATCTGTTGCAGACCATATATTATAGCAATTTAAGAATGTCAAAAACGCTAAAGAACTATTCAATACTGCGATTGCAAACAAATGTAAAGATCACGCAATCATCTATTTAAAAGAGAAGAAAATGAATTAAAAAGACGTGTTATGTATATGTTATACACGTTATTGATATGTTTTTTAGGTGATGATATTTTTATTATTTTGAAATTTTATTAATTTATTACATCAGATATACGACATGAGTATATATAATCAAAATTTTCGTTTCTCTTCGTTAATTTCCCTGATAACATTTATGTTGCATAAGATATCTAAAAGACATCTTTGAGGTGTCTTATGTCTAAAAGATGTCTAAAAGATGTCTTTTAGATATCTTATGCAACATGTATATTATCTGAGTTAAGTAAAATAAGATTTTAAAATTGTATTAAGATTCATATTAACTCAAATGACATTATGGTTTTCTTCGCTAATTCATATACTAATGATTTAAAAAAAATTTGATTGAAATTCATGATACTTTAAACTATTATGATTTTCTTCTATAACTTATGTATAATCACTAGACTTTGATATTTCAAATAAAATATTTTAAATAATTAGTTTTTCATATATTCATCATTTTTCAAAGAGAAAAAAAGTGACAGAAAGAGAGTAGTAATACTAGGCGGGTTCTAACTCACGGGGCTAGAGGGGAGCGCGGGAAGTACTCGTAGGCGCGGGGATATTCGTAACGCGGGGAAGGAGGTGGAAAGGTCCTAACTCTTATGTAAACATAGGGCCCCGGTCCTTATTTTTTGTCGTCACCCGCCGCTCTCTCTCCAAAAATGCATCGATAACAAAAGCTTGCATGTTAGAGAAAGATAGAGCGCGCGACGGAGCATGTAACATGCTATGAGTGAAGAAAGGATAGAAGAAGCAATAGAGTACAAGTTTCTTTTTTTACGATACAGTTTTTCAATATAGTTTTTCCTGGCGCGTCAAGGCAAAGGATGGGAAGTAAAAGACAATACATATATAATAATGCGAACAAAAATTTTTTATTCACATCTTATTACACTGGTTTTCGTACTTATTAAAAACTAAAGTTAATAGTTCGTAATCGACGAGCTGATGTCCATTGAAGATGTCGCTATCACGTATAATGTTCTCAGATGCGATGTTGGAGAAACGCGTATACTTGGTATCTACCGTATCGACGAGTCGAGCTAATCGTTCGAACGTTACATCGATACATCCGTTAAAGTCAAACATACGGCGTAGCATCGTTTTGGTCATCGTAATGCATATGGATGAAGAATCGAGACGTACGAGCGTAGCATCATTCAACATGCAAACACTGACGGTTAGCGGTCCAAGGCTTATAAAATTATCTTTGTATTCGTTTCGAAACATCTTTTAAATCTTTCCTCGCTGCTCGTAGAGACTCTTCCACGTTTCGAGAGACAGCGATAGTTCTTGTGATGATCTCTAAGGGCGACCTCCACGTAACTCGATGGGCCAACGTTGATTCCAATTTCTAAAAATTTGTAGCCCGTATTCATCAGATCGTAATGCTCAATAAACGCACCGCACGATGCTCCGTACTGTGTACATACATAATGTTAAAAAACGTTACTTTTAATATAGATATAGAACATTGAAACTTACATGTTATACAAGTATTCCTTCTTCACATATACGATACACTGCTCTCTTTAGCGATGTACATTTTTTCAACCGTTCGTACAAGCGGGTATCACAAGACTGATTGCATCCGCGTAAATTGTGACGTAATACTTCTGGAATCGATGAGAGAAGGCAGGTCCTCCCCCTCTTTCCAAGAATTTCGAATATGTCGCGACACGTTTTATCAAGTCTTTCTACTTATTTTCTTTGTCACGAATTTATACATACGTTTATACGTACATACATTTATATAAGGTGTAGTAAAAAGAAATCCATTGTTTTTCCAATAGATTTAGTAATCTATATCTCACGTTGTATAAGTGCGATCGGGTTACGCTAGATGGCGTTAGAAAGATAAGATTTCATACTAAAAAAACTTCTGAGACAGTTTTGTGATTGCTTGACTCAGTATTGTTTGAGCGCGCGTCAAAGATGGACATCAGCAAAGAGAAAATACGCCATATTTTACAGTTTTTCTTCGATAAAGGCGAAAACGCAAGCTAGGCGGCTGAAAATGTGAATAGTGTTTATGGTCCTGATACTGTAATAACCAATTACGCGCAATTTTGGTTTCGTCGATTCCGTTCCGGTAATTTTGATGTCAAAGATGCACCATGCTCTGGAAGGCCAATTGTCGAAAATGTCGATAAAATAATGTAAATCGTCGAGTCCGACCGTCATATAAGCACTGTTTCGATTGCCCAGGAGCTAAACATTGCACAAAAAACCGTTTGGAACCACTTGAATAAAGTTGGATACAAAAAGAAGCTCGATGTATGGGTGCTACACGAGTTAACGCAAAAAAACCTCATGGACCGAATTTCCATCTGCAAATCGCTGCTGAAGCGCAACAAAATCAACCCATTTCTGAAGCGGATGGTGATTGGTGAAAAGTGGGTCACTTATGACAACGTTGAGCGAAAACGGTCGTGGTCGAATCGCGATGAGCCGGCAAACGGTGGCCAAGCCAGGACGGTCAGGAAGGTTTTGCTGTGTGTTTGGTGGGATTGGCAGGGAATCATCTACTATGAGCTGCTCCCCTACGGCCAAACTCTTAATTCGGACCTGTACTGTCAACAATTGGACCGCCTGAAGGAAGCAATCGCCCAGAAGTGGCCAGCGTTAGCCAATAGGAGAGGAATTGTGTTCCATCAGGACAACGCAAGGCCACACACATCGACAGTGACTCGGAAGAGAAACTCCGGGAGCTTGACTGGGAGGTTTTTATGCATCCACCTTATAGTCCGGAATAAAGCCTTCAATTTCATGCAAAAATAATGGATATCTTGTTACTACACCTTATATATACATGCGTTTATACATACGTTTATACATACGTTTATACATACGTTTATACATACATACATTCATTCATACACACATATGTTTATATGTACATACGTTTATACATACGTACGTTCATTCATACGTTTATACGTATGTTTTATACGTACGTTCATACAAACGTTTATACATTACAAAGGAAGGGAAAAGAAATACATAATAAATACGTTAACGTATTTTTATTTAAAAAATTCTTTTGCAATCATCAGTTATATATTTTCAATACATTTTCTAACGTGCAATTCTTAATATGTTGCCCTCATCGTATAATATTAGTAACATCTAGATTAGAGATGAAAGATTCCATTTCTTCGTAAACTGCATCCAAAATCTCGATGTACATGCGTTTTCGCTCATCGTCCAGAAGCAAGTTTCATAGCCACGTTCGTTTCTCGCGTCCCTTGACATACACGACAGCATCATCTTCAAATACAGCCATCGTAATTAGATGTTTCGCCTCGTTGTACGGAACCATTCCGTCCTCCCATTGCAATCCATAGTGATAAGCAATCAATCAAGAGACGCAAGATCTGTCGGATCTTGTCAAAAATTTCCATAGCATGGAACTCGTAAAAATGTAATGCGTGAGAACGATCCCCTGTTTCAGCACCGCCACTTCCTTCACGATAAATTTCTTGTTAACGATGAATCCTTGCAGATCCACGAACGTTGGCACGAGCATGTTGTCGAGAAGACTGCGACGTCTATTGCGACGTATCGTAAATTTTATATCGTGTCAGAGGTGCACTTAGGTGATTTTGCGCACAACGTTGGTCAATGGATTATATTGAGCTGCATGATCGAGTATGATGAGACAATAAGCTATTGTATTTGCGGGCACATTCTCCTTGCAGTCAAATTCTATGCGTACGTCCACAGTGGCACTTTTGACGGATTCGTTTTGTCGCGAGCAATCAATGACCACAAAAGGCCCTTTCTCGACAAATGAGAACACGTTGAGTAGCGTTTCGAAGCAATCGATTCCAATATGCTCTACGAAAACGCGCGTATATATTAAATAGAACGGCGTATCTCTTTTTGCCAAAATCCAGATTTAAATCGTCGTACGCCGAATTTAGATAAAGTTTCACGTTACTCAAATTACAATCGTCGAACACGCTAACATCTCGTGGCATGATATTCTTCGACCAGTCTGCAGAGCAAAAATAAGGTATCAAGGCTTCTCAAGCTGAG